AAAAAAAAAAAAAAAAAAAAAAAAAAAAAAAAAAACCCGACTACGGTCGGCAGCAGCTACAACGAAACACCACTCTCGAAATAATGGGGATCGCCACACCACTCTCGAAATGTGGGAAAGAATGTGGCGGGTGCATCTGGCCATGTTTTAGGGGGAAGTTCATTCTCATTTTGCACATTTCGGGAGCGGTGTGGCTATGCCCATAATGCAGCTTGACACATCACTCATGAATCAGAAACATTGGGCCTCGCTGCACTACTCTCCAAATGCGCAAAATGAGACCGAATCCACGGTTAGAACACGGAAAGATACATTGCCATCTTTTTTGTCTTTTGTGCATGTGGACAGTAATGCAGCGAGGCCCAATACCAGTGACCTTGACAGTGGTCTTCCCGGTCCGTTGAACCTCGCTGCATTCTTTCGTCMCCCTTTTTTTTTTTCTTTTTTTTTTCCATCTAATTTCATTCTCTCGTTACTATTCATAACAGCGTTTTTTTTTTTGAGATATATTTGTTTCCTCAAAATTTCACCTCTCACTACCTACCTATCACTACTTCTAGGTTCTAATAAGCCTATAAAGGGGAGACCCCTGCAAGCATAGCTACCTCAGAGTCTCACAATCAAGGGGATGCATGTTGCGTGGGGGCGCCTGTGGGCGGAAGCCCGCTAAGGCAAGACACAGCATTTGGCTAGTATCTACGCCTCCCATCTACTTCCCCCGCCCTCATCGAGCAGCAGTAGTGCCTATGGCCGCTCTCACTCACCACATACAACTGTACCCACACACACACTGACCCACGATAGCCTAATACCCTACCAATACTGGCAATACAGACCGGGGGCGGTCGGTGGGATTGAACCCACGACCTCCTGAATGCCACTTGCGGTGGCTAACTACCCCTGAGCTTGGGCACTTCCCTCGCAACGGATGCTTCTTTTTTTTTTTTTTTTTCCCGGATGCGTTTTTCCCGACTTCTATGGGGTAGACGCACTCACAAATGCACGGAAGCGTCCACCCGGGTGCCTCCCCGAAGGAAGAAGAAATATGACGTTTTTCTTGCTGTCTTTTGTTTTCGTTTTTTTTTTTTCTTGTCGTTTTTGTTTTTCCAAACCTTTTCTTTTGTTTGGTAAATATTTTCCAATTTTGTATAGATGCTCAGAACAAGAAAATCCTTACAGCTGCCTAGAGTTGGCGACCTCTGTTCCTAGAGTATGCCCTCATGCTCGCAAGCTGAACTGGCTGATGCTGCCAGGATAGCTCCGGGTCAAATTGTGAGGTCCGTTTTTTGCAAAAAAATAAAAATAAAAAATTGTGAGTTCCCCGGCCTCGTTGTGCCCTGATCCATACGAATTTCTGTTTGCTTAAAAAAAAAAAACCCCCTCCTCCCCCCCTCCTCTCCCCTCCCTTCCCTCTCTCTCTCTCTCTCTCTCTCTCTCTCTCTCTCTCTCTCTCTCTCTCTCTGTGTGTGGTTGTGTGTATCTCCTGTGTCTCTCTCTGTGGCGGCTTAGGATTTGGGGCATACATACAGTAAGAGCACCACAACGAAGGCGCGCAAGGCTTTCTTCGCTAAGTGGCGTTCGTGGAGTTTCTTCGGAGGTTGAGCGGGTGCATCTCTGTGGGTTGCCTTCAGCAGCTTCGAATGTCCATCATCTCTTCATTGACTTCGCGCTGGAGTCAGGATTCACGCTGCGCTTTCGTTGTTTGTATGGATACTGTGGGATACTTACTTCCGTTCACATTCTGATTTGAACATTTGTTATCAAGTTCGATGTTTGCGACTCTCTCCTCGGTTCTCTCTCTCTCTCTCTCTCTCTCTCTCTCTCACACACACACACACACACACACACACGCACACACACACACACACACACACCCCTCTCTCTCACTCACACACACACACACACACACACACACACACTCGTACGTCTCACTTCAGGTACGCTGAAGCTTGTTCCTCGAACGTCCACCTTGTGCGTTGGGCGAGCGCAAGTCGGTGTACGGACTGCGGAATCTCATTAGTGAATCGCGGTAAGCAAAGCGATAGTCAGTGTATTTCGTCGGCGGAGGGTGATGAGGGCTTTTTGGCAACGAGGTACGGAATACTATTTGAACGACTGTCACAGTCGTCGATTCAACCGACTGACAGTGAAACATTGTGCATCGTCTTGCTGTCCAATTTCTCTGTGTTAGGTATTGTCTTGACTTTGCAAGGATTGGTTTTCGCCCATCTTCATACATAAACATAATTTCTGATGACCTCGGTTAGCGTCGATTGCACTTCCTCGTCTCGCCATATCCAAACTTCTTTAGACCATGTCCTATGATATCGTCATTTCGCCATTCCAAACCACTGGGTAGTTGCTCGATGACAAGCGCACCGTACTTGGGGCCCTACGCTTCTCCAACCAGCACTCAACTTCGTGCTCTTCTCTCTTCAGCCATCATACGAAGCTTGTTCGTCTGCAAAACGCGTAGGCAAAACGCTAGGGCAAAAAAACGCGTAGGCGAAACGCGTTCCATGTCCATGTCGCCATAGCCGTTGATTTGAACTCCGTACGTTGAACGCGGTCCAGATATTGAGAAGGACGGCGACCTCAGAGTATTTGCTTTGTAACTTCGAGCATCACAGTTTGCACTATCAACAATAACAGAAGCTAGACATCGGCAGAAAACACACACACACACACACACACACACACACACACACACACACACACACACACACACACACACACACACACACACACACACACACAGAGAGAGAGAGAGAGAGAGAGAGAGAGAGAGAGAGAGAGAGAGAGAGAGAGAGAGAGAGAGAGAGAGAGGGGCGAGAGCTGTCTCTTATACACATCTAGATGTGTATAAGAGACAGGAGAGAGAGAGAGAGAGAGAGAGAGAGAGAGAGAGAGGCCGGGGGCAGAGTTCTTTCACTTTGGTAGAATCTTGCAATACGATATAGGTAAAATGGTGTACAAGATATCTCCAAGTGTCAAAAGGCAAGTACAGATGTACAGGTATGTGGAGGTCGTCGAGAGCGGAACAGGGTACCTGGTCCTTACTATCCTTTCCCTTGGGCTAGGATCCTTCGGTCCCGATATGTCGGCAAGGGTCCTGTGGACTTGCGTGGCACTTGTTCTCTTGGATTCGTTGTCCAAGGTGCTTAGGGGGTTCATACACAAAGTGTACTTCCATGGCATGTCTTGTGCTCAGGTCGCTGTCGGTCAAGGCATTTCTTCCCGCGTCGTTCTGGGAAGCTTCACCCTGCTGAACGGGAAAGTTCGGTCCACGTTCGCGTACGTGGCGCTCAGCGCGTTCGTCCGTCTCTGCGCGATGGTAGCCCAGATTATTCTCGGCGTCTTCCTTTATAAGGCCATTCCTGAGGTGAAAGGCCACCCAGATTACGACAAAGATTGGTCACTGAAGCGCCTGCACGAGTTCCTCGTCGTAACTTGCTCTTGTCTCTTTCTGCACACTGTCCTCATGGAGGTTCTCATTCTTTTCAGCTCGTATTGCGCCTTGAAACGCTTCTGGCTCGACCATCTGAAGGGGCTTTGTGCCTTTCGGACACGTTGCCCGGCCAGTCTAGACTTCGAAAATCTCCATCAAACACCGGATTTCCCTCTTTGGGAGAGGCTGGAGAGGATACGTGCCGAGATGGAAATGGGAGTGACGTGGTACGTTCACTGCGGACGTCATTTCTGGTTCAGTCATGTCGAAGCCTATTCATACAAGGAAGACTGTGGCCTGCCTGGGTACTGGTTCCACAGTGTGAAGGAGCTGGTGGATATGGTGCGGGACAACCTTCCCAGATTGTCTGAAGAGAAGAGCACACGACAAGGAAGAAGAGGGAGAGCTGTGGGGAAGGTGTCGATGGCGCTTGCATCGTTGTTGGAGTTATCACTGAAGCCGAAACCGTGCGACAGTGAGCTGTTTGCATATGCTGCTGCGGAGGAGGAGGAGTTGGTGGATCACATGCAGGATCTTCCGCAGACTGCTCGCTGCAGGCATGACGTTGACGCTGGTCTGGACTTCGCTCGGGCCCACGGGTACCTGGCGATGCTGCAGGTCCTCAAATGCTGTCCTCCAAATTCTGACGAGACCAGACTAGCTGCCTCCATCGTTGCAGGGTTCGCTTCCGGCCTCTCTGTTCTCCCTTGGCAGCCATGTTCGTCCAGGTGTGGACGGGAGGGGTGTAGACAGCACGGCCCCTTGGAGATGCTGGCGGATGACGACTTCTGGTACGTAACAGTCGATCTGCTGCACGAGTTCCGTCGTCAAATCACTTCAAGCGAGTGCGCTCCCACCACCATCTCTCGTCCCTGGGCGGATCACTGCACACCGTTGCCAGCCAATGCCAATCCTGACGAGCTGACAGCAGCTGCAGCTTCCGCAATAAGCTCTTTCGCCCAGGCTGCAAGCGACATACATGCTCACCTCCATGGACATCGTCGACCATGTACTCAACCGAATCCATTGCCAGCAATAGATGGCACGAAACCTCAACAAGATGAGGTCGATAAGGGCTATGTGCGCAGACTGAGCAACGGGTACACTACTCTGAGTGCCGACGGTTGGCCTCTGGAAACCCGCCACCCGGATTTCCAGGTAGCCAACGATGTGTGGGTGAATGGAGTTCTATCTGTCCTGATGAGGACGGATACGGTGGATGCGTTGCTCCAGCTTGCCAGCAAGTCAGACAAGCTACTAGACAACCTGTCCTGTAATGCTGTTGCGCACTCAATCAGGACCCTCTCGGCGCTCTTTTCCCGCAGGATGATCACGTGGCACCGCTTTGACGATCGGCTGTTGGAGCATTTCCCCCCGCCTATGGCTTCCATTTACCAGCTCAGCAACAAAGACATCGTTAAGGACAAACTGAAACGCTTGATTGGGCTTTGCAGCGAGCCCCAGGTCCATCCACGGGATCTGGCTGGTACCGTTCAGTCTGTCTCATCGAGGCTTCAGCTGGCCAAGATCCTGATCTCTCAGGGCATCCGTGATGTTGATGAGGAGGTGGCTGAGATGTTGCTGCAGTGTATCGGTAACTGGCGACGAGCCTTGGGTCCCAGAGACGTAGACTGGCTCACCTGCGAGGCCATCGAAACCCTTCGTGACCTGTTCGTCACCTCTAGTCAGAAATCTGCTCTTCAACCCCTCATTTGGTGCTCGCCGGGGGGAGTTAACTGCCTCCGGTTGATGCTCAACGATGACCGTAAGATCTTTGACCATCCCCTGCTCGAAGACCTGCTGCATCCTGAGATGGAGTCTCAGAAGATATGGTCCTCAGACGTCGGGACTCATAAGAACAGTTGTGTGGCAGCGGCTGCAGGTCTCCTGGCAGAGCTGATGAAGTCACCGGAGAAGGGGAGCAGCTTCTTGCCCAAGGCTGCAGACAATCGTCAGTTCTACACCACGTTATTCATGAGCTTATCTTCCATCCTTGACCCTGAAAAGATGCATACTCACACAGACTTGGCAAATGCAAGCTCATCCTGGGACGAGAGCGCTTCGCGGTCGTGGGCATTCTACCTTCCCCAGTTCAACCTCACAGCTCGCTTTGTCCTCCTTTTTTGGGAGTCCTTAGGAAACCCAGCGTGGAGGCCGGCATTTGGCCTCTTTGAGAACATCAACTCGTTCGTTAATGAAGGTGCAGAGAACCGGATGGAAAACTTCGAGCTAGCAGTGAACTCTCTTCTCGCCACAAGGTATGCTGTCACCATCGCCGATCTTGTGCTGGCACGGCATCCAGAATTTGTCCAGTCCCAGATTGACCATACTATTGTGACCGCATGCTTCCCTCCCTTGGTCCGGTTCCTCACAAGGTCCATCCCGAGGCTGCAACGATGCTTGGGGCTTGAGGCATGGGAAGACGAACTGCACTGTGAGATCAAGAACCAGGCGGCCCACGTGCTGTTTTGGATCCTTCCTCGGGTCTATCAACTGCAGTTCGCTGCACCTTCACGATCGCTTTCTGCTGGGAACAGCCGGGCCAGGCGGCCGACAATGGATCCCAACACCAAGGACTTGTGGTCGCGAGCTCAAGACAGAGTGGGCCTCGCCTTGGAAGAACTTCAAAAGTGGGCGGGGTTGCAGCATGCACGTACAAAGCTAGCGGTGACATCGCACGGCACAACAGCTTCAACAAGCACGGAACAGAGTACCGACATTGCGCATGATCTTGCCGAGCTTGTTAAGGAGTTGACTCCGAGTTCAAGTGCCTCGATCCCTTTTCCTGGTTCTGATGAGAGAGCAGGTGTCACTGACATAGAAGCTGGTGACTTGCCACCCGACAAGGCACACCGCGAGGTTGTATGACTTAGGGGAAGGATCTACAGTTCGCTAGAGCCTAGAGGCTAGAGGGGCACTGGTCTGAGGAGAGTTCCGCATGGAGGGCTTACTGTCAGTGCATGCGCTGGGACAGCTCTGCAGACTGCAGGTGGTCCGAGGTGGACTCTTGCCAAATTGCCAATTATGAAGGTAGAGCTAACTCTTTTACTCAGGAGTCAGAACCAAACTACCGTCTTCACCCAAATAGAACGCCCGGTTATTATAGTTGTATCTGAACTGAAAGGTGCACCGGGCGTTCTATTTGGGTGAAGACGTTAGGAAACAAACATAACTGTCCGAGTCTGTCCCCAACAGCTCATGCGGTGCATGCCTGAGCTGCACTGGGTATGTGCGAGCCCTGCAGGCTTTGAGACCGGCTCCGGTTATTCTTCGGCCCGGACAATGTTTGTCTTAAAGCTGCAACAAGTTGAACCTTGCTGTGATTTAAGCAGAATGAGGGTCTTGAGTGAAGTTGAGTCACATTTAGGGCTGGCCTGGTGTTGGAGTAGGCTGGACTCAAAAAGGAGGGGGAGTGGCACAGAGTGCATGTAATTCCATGATTGAACTCGAGAAATATGGCATTGCTGACCATTAAACCACCAGTGCTTCCTAGAGTCCTGCCCGTTAACGCGCCACAATTTTAGGAAACTTACGGGATACTACAGGAGCGCCCAAATTCATCCGACTAGAAACGTTTCTACTCTCTACTCTTTTTTTTTCCGCGGCCGATAGCTGGGCCAAGTACTGGTGGTTTAAAGACCTGTGGACAAAAATCTGGATTTCTGTGGCACTTGAGAAAGACGAGAGTGGTGATGGATTCCGGACTAAATTACGAACGGAACTCGGAATTGAAACCAGGATAAAAAATAAATTTGAGTAATTCAGAATTACCTGGGTGCTGATCACCGGCACCCATTCTTGTAATTGTAAAACAGAAAGGAATTTCAATCAAACAGTCATAAGATCTATGTACACTTTTGTACGGCCAAAGCACAGCTATTTCACCCCATCCCATCCAACAGGGAAGTTAAGTACCATTAGGCCTGTATACTACTGGGATGAGATGGGTGACATCCGAGTATATGTTAGCACCACGGTAGAGTCGGGTAGAGTCGGGTAGAGTCGGGTAGACCACTTGCAGAGAAGGCACTCATCTTGAGAACTTCGGGTTACTGTAAGTTTCAATTTCTACTTACGGTGTCGGTATTGTTCTGTTTTTCTTTCAGTGACACATAAACTGGGTTATGGACCTCCTGGGCTCAAACAAGGAGGGGTGGTGTGCGGTTTTCTTGCACTCTATGACTTGTCTGTGGTGTAGTGACCCGCAAAATCACAGTCTGAGATCTCTTCTGATTGCTGAGTTTTGCCGCTGGAATGTGTGCCTTGCTGAGATTCCCGCTATCTGCTGAGATTTCTAAGTCTGTATGTGTGCGTGCTTGCTGGTTCCCCCGTGCCTGTCTGTGTGCATGTCTGTCTGTCTGTGTGTGTGTGACCCGCCAGGGTACTTCTTTGTTTGGGAGGCCCTCGGGGCTGGTACTGACCTGTGGCCGCGGGGGAAACACTCAACTAGCATAGGCTAGCACTCAAGTAGCGGTAGTGTAGGCCCACATAGCTTAGAATAGCATCTGAGTAGCGGTACCCTGTAGGCCGAGCACTGTAGGCCCATCAGAAGAAGACAAAAAAAATTCATAGCTTAGAATAGCATCTGAGTAGCGGTACCCTGTAGGCCGAGCACTGTAGGCCCATCAGAAGAAGACAAAAAAAATTAAGTACCCTTTTGACAGTCTGGTCGGCCTTGGTCTAGGTACCAGTCCTGAAGTCTGAGACTAGGGGCTGTTGCGGATGACATCAGACCTGCAATGATGTCTCCCTCCGATAGGGGGGAGGAGGTACTGGTCGCTTGGGAGGCCGCGCTGCCTGGAAGTCACCGCCCAAGAGGCAAGTTGCCCGATACATTTTGTAGGAGAGCTCCAGGCTCTGCCTCATTTGCGGTGTGCAAGTTTGGGTGTCATGCTGCTGGAGCGCTAGGCGGAGGAGCGCTTGTGTCAAATAGCGCTGGGGGAAGGAAGAGGAGAGCTGGGCCCTCAGCTATGGCGAGCAGCCCATCCAGGAGGAGGAGGTAGAAGAAAGAGGAAGGAGAGTGGCAAGATAACTTGTCGGCTATGTTGGATGCCAATGCCATCTTCATCTCCTTGGTAGGCGCTGCACCTGTCTCTTATACACATCTAGATGTGTATAAGAGACAGGAGGAGAGCTGGGCCCTCAGCTATGGCGAGCAGCCCATCCAGGAGGAGGAGGTAGAAGAAAGAGGAAGGAGAGTGGCAAGATAACTTGTCGGCTATGTTGGATGCCAATGCCATCTTCATCTCCTTGGTAGGCGCTGCACCAGGAAGGCCCCAATATGGGTTGGGCTGCATCGAAAAGGCTTCAGGGCAGATTCAGGCATGGTGGCCTGAGTGTAGAGGACATACGTGCTTTTGCATTGTCTTTAGAACATTCGGGCAGGGCACCTACTAGTCTGCCATAGCCATCATCTACCGAAGGAGGTTGGAGGTGAAGGTCATGACTATCGTGGACGTCATATCGTGCTGGCATTAAAAGGGAACTTCGGACATTGGTTCTGGCTCAGCCATTTATTGTTTCTATCATTATTTGTTGAAGAATAAGATTGGGGGAGATAAGGAGGAGTCTGAGGAGGAGGTTCAAGGTTGACTGGCAAGAGAAGGAGGATTTGTCATTGATCTTTTGCTGGTGTACATCTTCTTCCTCTTCCCTTCTTCATTCTTCTTCTTCCTTTATATCTATCTCTTTTCAAGTTCTTTCATTTCTTTTGCAATTGAGCGGCATTTAATTTGTATTTCCGTGTGGATTTGCACTCCGGAATTAGCCGGGATCATAACAATGGTATTGGAGGGAACTTGCTTGCTGGCAAGAGGACTTCGAGGAATTTTGCCACCCCAACCCTAATTGCGAGTTAGTTAGGGCTAGGTAACCTCGAATTAGGGTTGGAGGTTAAGTTAAGTGGGGCAGCAAGGTAATGTGGGAGCTGCCTGGGCCTTGTTCAACTTGGGTCGACATATGACCTGGCCACGGCCGCCAGGTTGTTTTAGTGAATGGTTGGGGTGGCGAGACACAAGGGACGCTGGCTTGAGTGAGCGAGGAGTAGAGAGTGAGAGGTACTCGCACCCGGAATCCAAGCTTGAAGTCTTGAAGAAGGCACCGAGTGACTTTCGTGCTTCCTCCCAAATGGGAGACTTTGCTGGAAGTAGCCATAGCAGCACTGAAGTACTGCAAGTGGCTGGCTGAACTTCAACGTCGATGTGAGATACGGTGGTGGCACTGTATATTGGTGTAGGTAGGCCCTCCTAGTTGTGCTAGGACAAGTGGCCTGTGGCTCAGTGGTTAGGGCACCGGTTGTCTACGAATCACCCCCGAGGCGGCCATGCGCGGCCAGGGCCGCAGCCGTGGCCGGGGCCGGGGCCGCGAGGGGGTGGGTTGGGGGTAAAAAATAAATAAATAAATAAATAAAAATATTGATTGATTGATTGATTGATTGGTGGCCGCCACCCCCCCGCACACACGTACACACACGCACACACGTGCACACACACACACACACACACACACACACACACACACACACACACACACACACACACACACACACACACAGGCACGACAGAAACACGAGTGTGGCAGTGTGTCTTTCCATGTTCTAGCCATATATTTATTCGATTTTGCTCATCCTATCAATGGAAGTACCATGAGGCCAACCGCAAGGTTGGAGACTTACCTGCTCTCTCTCTCTCTCTCTCTCTCTCTCTCTCTCTCTCTCTCTCTCTCTCTCTCTCTCTCTCTC